ACGTAAGTAGTTAATTCTCTTACCGAAAAATCTAAAAAATATACAATCACAGTTTATTTTTATAGTCATTTTATGTTCAAATTTGGACGAAATTTCATATTAAAAAACCTAGTTATTTTGTTGTGATTATATAATATTATTCGTGGGTACCTACTTGAAACTTCTTAAGTGTACTATTATATATATATGATAGTATCAGGGTTTGTTGTTAGTGTATAACGTGTTATAAGTACCTAATGGATATTGTGATAATGTGATATGATTAATTTGGAATTTATTATAGGTCAATTTTTTTTTAATACCATAGATATGTATATAATTTGTCTTAACCTAGACTGACATACCGTCTTCGCTCAGAATCGTTTTTCTTATACAATGATATTGTATCATTGAATTCAAATTTAATAGCATCAATTATACAGTGACCCACTTGTAACCTACTGTACAGCAGAGCGACATCCACTTACCCACCTTTTTTAACTTTAAATGCTTATAAAAAAAAATTGTGACTAAGGATTTTTAATATTTTTCATCTGCCTTTGAAACAATATATTAGGAGCCTTCTATTAAATTTTCAAGCTTTCGCAACCAACAAATAAAATTTTATTGATATTTCTAGAAAAAAAACTAAAAAAAAATGAAAAATGAAAATGTCCCTAAACAGTTCAAAATAAATCAAAATATTTTGAAAATGTTATCGTGTATAGAAAATGCAAATATAAACAACCAGTGAAAATTTCATGTATCTACGGTCATTTGTTTAAAAGTTACACCAAAAACCAAATTCGATTTTGTCAAAAACAGATTTTGCGTAAAAATTCCCGTTTTTCCTTAATTTTTATGTTGTTTTTCCCGCCGCTCTTGAAAACTACTGGGAAATTTAAATTTTGACCTCCCCAATGCACTAACGATATTCACTTTCCAATCGAACAAGATACTGAAGTCGAAAATCGAAGCATTATTTCGACTACTTATCGTGTACACAGATACAAAAAAAATAAAAAAAAAAAGGTGGGTAAGTGGATGTCGCTCTGCTGTACAGTAGTGGGTCACTGTATAATGGATGCTATTAAATTTGAATTCAATGATATAATATCATTGTATAAGAAAAACGATTCTGAGCGAAGACGGTATGTCAGTCTAGGTTTAAGATAAATTATATACAAATCTATGGTATTAAAAAAAAATTGACCTATAATAAATTCCAAATTAATCTTATCACAATATCCATTAGGTACTTATAACACGTTATACATCAACATCAATAACAAACCCTGATACTATCATCGATATATAATAATACACTTTAGAAGTTTCAAGTAGGTACCCACGAATAATATTATATAATCACAACAAAATAACTAGGTTTTTAATATGTAATTTCGTCCAAATTTGAACATAAAATGACTATAAAAATAAACTGTGATTGTATATTTTTTAGATTTTTCGGTAAGAGAATTAACTACTTACGTAGAATCTTGTTTTAAATTTTCAATCCTTAGCTATAAAAACTGAACATTTTATAATTTATTAATTACGATGGTTAATAATTTCCGAGATTTTGAAAAATTCTGTCAAAATTCGATGTAAAAATGCTTATAAAAAAAAATTGTGCCTATGTATTTTTAATATTTTTCAACTGAAATTGTAACAATATATCAGGAGCCTTGTATTAAATTTTTACACTTTTTGGCCCAACAGATAAAACTTAATTGATATTTATAGAAAAAAAAAACTAAAAAAATTGAAAAATTAAAATATCCGTAAACAGCTTAAAAAGAGTCAAAATATTTTCAAAATTGTATGGTGTATAGGAAATGCTAATATAAACATTCAGTGAAATTTTCATGTATCTACAGTAATTCGTTTTTTAATTACAACAAAAAAAGGAAATTGCCACATGAGAAATCGAGTGAATATCCAATGTTGTAAAAATTGTTTTTCCCGGCGCTCTTGAAAACTACTGGGAAATTTAAATTTTGACCTCCCCAATGCACCAACGATATTCACTTTCCAATCGAACAAGATACTGAAGTCGAAAATCGAAGCATTATTTCGACTACTTATCGTGTACACAGACACAAAAAAAATAAAAAAAAAAATAAAAAAAAAAACACACATCATTGTAAAATCAATACATTCATCGTTTCACTCAGAATCTAAAAATAAATATAAAAATAAAAAAAAAAACACACATCATTGTAAAATCAATACATTCATCGTTTCACTCAGAATCTAAAAAACACACATCATTGTAAAATCAATACATTCATCGTTTCACTCAGAATCTAATACATACCATGTGAGACTTGAACCCAAAACTCAACGTGGCAAAGTGCAAATACTTATAAACTTATTTTTAGGTATGTTTGACCGTTGTATAGTTAAAAAAATAATGTAATAGCGTCAAAATAAAATTTAAATAACACTAGAAAATAAAATATGACGACGTACGTCACTTATATCAAATGTTCACGTGACACGATCATGATTCATGGATCACTATTATAAAATGGTCTTCTTTGCGATCAATTCCAGGGTAGCTATATAAATTAAGTTCAGAAGCAAAATCATCTGTATACCTAGGTACCTACCTATAACAGAGAAATAGTTATTTTCGATTGTTTTATTACTGGAGGCATGTTCTTCAAAAGTTTTCAATAAGTTTTCATCTCACTGAAAACAATCTTAATCGATTTATAATATTAATTAATAATTAACCGTTACAGTTTTTTGGAAACAATATTTTCTCGCGTATAATTGAATTTTTGAATTGGACCGATTCCAACGTAGGACTTGAGGTGGCACTGGTGAAGGGGGTGGAGGAGGGGCAATCAGACAGCTATACGGAGGGTTAGTTAGTATGAAGCTATTAAAAAAAAAACTTTTAAGGGGTGTACAATAAAGTATTTCTAGCGATTTCCGCCATATTTATGTATATATTATGTACAAAAAGAAACCATAACCTCGTTTCGCGTGGTTTTTGAAAAACGGTATTTGCTTTCTTTCTTCTCGCCGGCCACCCCCGCCGCCCACCATTTCTTCTTCTTTGTTACTATTATAGCTGCCATTCGGAATCCAGACGTGGTTGCCACGAGTAAATTATGTATTGTTTATCGCCGCGTACACTAATTATCGTCTAAAAAACAGTTTTTTATTCATGAACGCGCATTTAGATTTGTTCGCGTTTTTATTGAATATCTCCAAGAAACACCGTCGACGCTATACCTACCGCCACGCCACTCCCTCGCCCGCTGGCGCGATTCGATCCGAAAAAACAAATGAATAAATAAATAACCAGTATACGTTTTACTTATTAAACGGTTGTTGCTGTGTGCCTGTGTTACCGTAGTAACCAGAACGACTTTAGATCGTACAGATTGTCCATTATACACTATATCTAAATGTCTACAAAAAAAGACAGTATAGGCGCTTTGAGCTGAGAACCGTTTTTAATTAATTTCGTCCTATGAAATTAGAAGAATAACTGTTTTGAAATACACTGATAGTTAGATGTGTTTCTAATGTGTATCTGTATAATATATTATGTATGAAATATATTATATTTTTTTATTAGTTTCTCGGCCTATTACTAGACTCCAGTACGTATGATTTGCATATTCAGTAATTATTATTGTAATAATAAATAGTAGGTAATATAATATTCAAATTTCAAAACTAATATTTAGTTTGACTTTTATGTAGGTACCAGGTACATACATGTTTTGATTATCACGGTATTACTCTGTAGACGTTTCAGAAACGTTCAAACCTAACTATTCGAATTAATTATGAAAAACTCTACCTATTAAAATTTATCACTCGTACTACCGTTTCAATATATATTTTACAGAGCCATACCTACCACAGTTTACCTATGCATATCATAATTTATTATTATGTTTACATGTTTTGTTTCAAGTTAACCGAAATTATTGTAATTGATAATGTGGTCATGTTTACCATAACGTGTTTTGTTTCACTTTTAAGCAGTCTATCAGATTCATTGATACCTACCTATAAATTGTTTAGGAAAATACGAATGACATAGATAGTTTGTTTAGGAAACACTCAGTTAAAAACCGTTGTGTGGTAGACCGTACCTAGCCCATAAAAATAGATCGCAATATAATTTATATTTGTATACCTATAAGTAATATGTCTTGCAATATTATTTATAAGCTCACGTCATAGTCTTCACTATGATATAATAACTAACAAGTTGAAAAAACAGTTCGCGTTAGGTAAGAGCATTATCTCTTTTAAGATTTTATTTATAATTATTTTCATTTTAAAGTGAATTAGGTACGGGAATTTTAAAATTATAATTTATTACATACGTAGATAAATAAATTATAAATTTAAGCTTGTATAAATCATTTTAAGATGTAAATAGGTGTCATTAAAAACCGAGGTATGAGATTATTGATATTATATGTGAGTTCTATATAATATTCTTACCATTAAATTTTGTAACAGGTGAATTCATCCTAATGTTAAGACTAACATTACAAAATTGGTTCTGCTCAACGTACTGTGTTGTACATATTTTGTCGGACGATGACAACACATGCGGGTTCAACGTCCTTTTAACAAAAAATGTAATATACTTAGCCAATGATTAGGAAATATTAATGTATTATTCTGAATAACTTACCCTGGAATGATGAGATGAACTTTCGCTAAGTGAAACTAGGAATTTAAAATGTTTAAAGAATAGGTTTTCTATATAATTTCGACAGAACTAAATAAGATCATCGAAGCTTACAGTATGATGTTTTAACCAAAACTGACGATCCACTACATTAAAATTATTATTATTTAGGCAAAGTTAAACCATCAGCTAATAACCGTATACAGTTTATTGTACGTAATAGGTATATATTGCATTATTGGTTATCCTGCCACATGTCTTAAATAATATTGTTATATTATTATGATCGCCTCACACTCACTACTAAATCTGTCGAGAAATTACTTATAATTTATTTTGGTTTCAGGTGGACAAGAGAACATTCAAAGAGGCTCTAGGCGTCGAAGTTCACTAAATAGAGGTCAAAATCGGACGCCAACATTCGAAATTGATTTGCTTGGGTTTTCATTACACTCAATGAAGATACATTCATTTTTTAGAGTCACTACAAATACAATACAATATTGTCCGGAAAAATAACATAACTGAATCGAAACAATTTATTCCGATATGTTTAGTTCGGTTAAAACGGGAAAATGTTTTAATTAAAACACAGTTCAACGAGTAAAAGTTTGTTTCTCGTGGAAATTTGCTATGTATAATAAGTATATATAAAATAAGTACTATGTATTTTTGTTTGGAAATATATTTTACTTTTTCGTTCAATTCTCGTTCGCCGGTTTTCTCTCGTTTTTGTTATTATTATTATTATTATTATTATTATTATTATGCTCGTTGTGTTTTGGAAATTGGACCAACGAGAGAAGTTTTTCTCATAATTCTTTTACTCAGTCTTTTATACCCACTCCTCCGCTGTCTCCCTTTCACCCTTCTTTTTTTCCTTTATTATTATAAAAAAAAAAAATTAAAAGATTCGGAAAACCGTAGGTCGACTACGGCGGCGGTGTCAGCCCCAGAGTGGGGGGGTAGGACGCGCGCAGGGTAACAAACGAACGAACGAAATAAAGAAGACTGCTGCTGCGTGATTAAAAACTGGCGGGAGTAGCCCTAAGCGAGGGGTCGATTTTCTTTTTAAGAGTTTTAATTGCTTCGGCCATCATTTCCCTGCAGGCTCCTCCGCGCGCGGCGCTTTCTTATTTATTATTCGTTCTTTTTTGTTTTGCCTTTCTCGATTTTTAGCCCCAGAACACAACGACTCGCTATGTTTTATGTACGTCCCTCCGGAATTCCGAAGGGAAACAAACAAAAAACTGAGTAAAAAAAAAAAAAAAATTATAAATTAAATAATATTATATACAATCTAAATGTAATAATAAACTGGCTGGCCACGCCGATATTTGGATTGGAAACGTATTTCAGGATACAATTTCACACTCCACTCACCAATGGATATTCGATACAGACAAATTATATTATTATATATAGCTACACTGCACAGTACTTACCTACTACAGTAATAGACTAGTAGCCATAATATGTATAGCAAGTAGTAACATAAAGCAGTATATTTATCATTTAATTGTCCTGTTATATTTTACCCATAATATGCAGGGGAGTCACCAAGCATGCTCATCCCCATTTTTCCTTTAATAATGAACTTATTCAAATCATGATTTTGAAATTTTGAAATATACTCCTAAGACCATATTTTCAAATTCTTATGATTTTTTTGTACTACTTAAGGAGTATCGCCAAACTTCTGTTTTTCAAATGAAAACACAGAACACCCCTATTCAACGATAAATTATACAGTCGATAATTTTTCTGAAAATTTGTACGAGTAATTTTTTAGTTATTTAATTTTCTGTTCGAAGGCTAAAAAGTCCCTATGATATGGTAATTTGAAAATTGTAGTCATTAATATTAATAATTTGTAAAAATGGGCAAAATATAATAAATAATAGATCAAATTATACGTCTTTTTGTATATTTAAATTAAACCATTGTAAAGAAACTACTCATTCAAATTTTTAATTAGATACATCAAAGTTTTCAAAAAAATTATCCACTAAATAATTGACAATGAAAAAGAGAGGTTGTCATTTGAAAAATAGAAATTTTTATCGCCACAGGACACTCCTTAATATGGTACTACAATAAAATTTTAAAATTTTAAAATAGGACTTTGAGTAAATTTAAAAATTCAAAACACCAGAATTTGAATAAATTCATTATTAAAGGATAAAAATGATGGTGAGCAAATTTGGTGAATATATCTAATAGTCCTTAAAAATAGTTTTATAACAATATAAACTAGATGTTAATGGATTAATATTACCTGATCACAAAAAAAATTCAAATTACCATAGCCCCATATGGCCCTATTTTATAAACCCATTATCATGGACCTATTATCTTTAGAAAACAAAGTTAAATAACTCAAAACTACTAACATATATTTTGATTCTAATATGTTAGAATTTTTAGAAAAATTATACACTAAATAATTTATAGTAGAAAATAGGTGTTCTCATTTTAAAAACATATGTTTGTATCTCCACAGGACACTCCTTAAGTAGTACAAAATATCTCAAGAATTTAAAAATATGGTCTTTAAGTAGGTACCTCTATTTAAAATTTAAAAAAACCAGAATTCGATTAAATTCATTATTAAAGGAAAATATGGTGCTGAGCATGCTTGGTGAATCACTCTGTATATACATAAAACTATGTATGTCTGCAATATGTTTAATGTTAATTACTTTATTATATATGGACGGTGCCCGGGCCAAAGGGAATAAGTCCATTTTTACAATTTTTTTTTTATTGAATATTATTGTAGATTATTATAATCCACATCGATTAGCTTAAAAAAATAAAGACATTTTAGGTTCATTTTTTTATAAAACCCAAGAGAAAAAAGGAATAAGGTATCAGTCATTGTACAAATAGGAACAGTTTTTTTTTAATTTTCTCAAAACAGTGGTTTTGTACTTATTCCCTTTTGCCGTCCATATATATATATATATATATTATAATATGTATTAGCCTTATTATACGTAATGTTAATTAAATTAAAAAACAATTGTGACAAATTAATAAGTGTCACTAGTTTCAGGAAAATATAATCTATAACGGCTCCCCGAACAGAGGTTACATACATTAGGTATATTATCCAACATTAATATCCACGGTAACGCAATTTCCGTTTTGTACAGTACGGGTGGAGTTTGAATCCATTATCAAAGTTCCAAATACAATTATGCAGAGGTTTTTTTATCATTTAAATATTTTCCATACCTATTTCTTTAGTCATATTTTTTTTACACGGAGCACTTGTATATAGAGGTACGCACGAATCGTCGCCTTATTTTAATTTGTATTCTTGAATTTTGTACAACTGACGACAACCCTGTTATTTGTTTTAATTAATTATAAAATATTGGCTCATTCCGAAGACATATATATAATTATAATTTATATTTGCGTTTACTCCCATCTCAATAATTGTTTTCAAAATGTTATTCTATTTCACAAACGATGTCTAACGAAATTTAATCTCGTTCGATGATGTACAGCTATATAGCTATGGTTCTCTGCAGAATCTATAATTTCGAAACTCAAAATCATCGTTGGTGAAGTTAATTAGAACAAATGCAAAGGACGTCTCCAATCCTCGATTATAGTTTCTACCACTACGTTCGTTACTAGGCGTATACCTACCATTGATACTTCCATGTAATTTTCTATAAGACCGATACGTTGGACATAAGTAAATACATTATCTCTTTAAACCGTGATTATTATGAACATATTATTTACATATCCAGTTTTAATATTAATTACTACACCGTATATGTAATAGGAATTTATTAAAATAAGTCGAAAATTATTATAATATAATATCATCCCTGGATGTTCCTACCTATTTATAAAAGAGGCCACTCGGCAGGTCACTCGCTCGCTTACTGAGATAATTTAAATATTTATCGACGTCCAATAAAAAACCACTCCACATATGTAACCTCATCAAAATTTTTTTCAGCTGGTACTTGGTATAGATGGAAATAAAATAGCAAATCCTTAGCTAATATGGTGATGTATATGTAGTTGTGTGCCCAAGACTATCGTATAATGGGGGGGGAGATATAACACTTATCAATGATAATTGTTTAAGCACGCAGTCGTATAACCAACTAATATCGACTTTAAACCATTCTTCTAAAGTTTAAATAATTTTAATTAAAATAATTAGAAATTTCAATTTCAATTGTACACTTTAGCAATTCAACAGCTTAATCCTATAACATCGGTAGGTACCTACTATCACATACAATCAAGTAAATCATTTTCATTCAAACATTCAGTTTTGATGATTCAAGTTGAAGTAATACGACACTTCACATCTATAATTATCTGGCAGTCAAACCAATTTCAATCTTATAGTAATATAGTATATACTAACGTGTATTTAAACAAACTTTTATAGTCAATATAGGTAGGTATATTATAATGTATAGTTATAAAATAGACATTCTGTTTGACTGTTATAACTGAGTGATATAACTATGCTTATAGAGGTACTTAAATTCTTAATAAATCTTTAATTCAACGCTGTGTATTAACTCGCGCCCAGGGTTACGGCCTGCAATAAACGAATTCAATGAACGTTGGAGCAACTTAATGACATTAAGACAGTACTAATGACAGTACAATATAGGTACATTTTATGGTTGAACTGTTATAATATGATTATGGTTTTTCGAGCATCCACGACAGGAAAATCACGTTACGATTGATCGCACTGATCGCAGTATTACGTGCTGCAGACGTGTTAATGTCCAACGGCAGGTGTTCAAAGACGCGCCACGAGGCGAATGATCGGTCGGCGGTGACTGGTCGTACTGTCTGGCCACTGTGGGGCAACCGTCGGTGGCCACTATAAGATCGGTGGGCCACCTCCGCTAGGCGTGCACATATTATATTATACTATAGACGTGTAACCCGGACCGAGTATTACACGTGTGGCGGTTACCCGTTTGTGTTTGTGGTCGCGTGATGGACGCAGCTGGCCACCTCGGTGTTCTATCGATGGCCCGTACCAGAACGGATTAATTATGGAGCAGACTTACTCGTACACTGGGACAGCCTGTTCAGCACGGTCATAGCGTAAACCGTTTACCCAACATTTACATGTCACTGCATGCTTGGTCTTCAGGTGACCGGGATACATTTCCTGATGGTGGCCTGTAGCCGCGGTTGCTGATGATGTGCGGTGTTGGGTCGGCCGACCACTGGATGGCCCAGCTGGGCATCCACCACCCGGCCGTCGATAAGAAAGTGTCACGCGGCCTGCAGGACAGCCTGTGCGGAATTACGTTACTCGTCCGATCACACGTTCAAAACGTCTAGGACCGCCGTAATATGCGACTACGCGACGAAAGAGTGACGCCCAGACCAGGGGGGCTGCTATTCACAAACTCATACGAATAAGATCCGTAACGATTCACACGATTCGTTTTCGTATAAGAACGAAAATTAGTATTCTGAAAAACATTTATATTCGTATACGAATCCGCGTTCCCTATATGAGCCGTACGGGAAAGATATTCACACGATGAACAGCGTCGTAAAATATTATTTTTATCGTGGAATAGACTACTGTCTATGATGCATTTATAACAGCTGATATGTTTCACGAGTATTAATAATTACTAAACAAATATAAGTACCTATTTAGAATAAAACTGTATAAATTGGTTTTTTTTTTATTCAATGTTCCTTAATTTCGAGATGAAATGTCCATCGAAAAAAGAAATAAATGTAAATCGGTGACAAACGACCAAAAGGCTGCTATGATAGAATTTTTAAAAAATCATGACGAATTAAAAAGGGGAAACTTTCGTCAACTTTTACCCAAGCAGTGGGAAGCACTATCGGCGATATTAAACTCAATTCCGGGCCCTAAAAAGGAGACTGGAAGTCTTGGCGCTGTGTAAATTAACTATTAAACTGTTTAATTTAATTTAAAATACCTACTTAGGTATCATTTCCAAATATCTATTTTTCATATATGTAGTTTTACACTTATCGTATAATACATCGTATAATAGGTATTTAATAACTGATTATACATTTGTTTTAATAGTTTACAACATATAATTGTACCTATTTATAATTTTTGAAACAAATGTAGCTTAGCTCGGCACGTTTTTTTTTTTTGAAAACCTATGTATTTCAAAGCGTTTATAACGATGGTGCAAACATAATTTGTCGGTCGGACTTAGTCCCGAAGTTATGGACTTTTGAAGTTTGCGATTTTGAGTTTTTATTATATACCCAAAGTACTTTAATATACAAATGTTTGAAATAACTTTATAATTCTGTTTTACGGGAGTTATTAGGTAACTTTGTGTTATACCTAAGGTACTATAACATTAAAAGTAAGTAGGATAGGTAAATTTAGCTTTCACCAAAAACCAAAATGTTGAACATAATATAAATACTAACATATCCCAAAAATTTAAGCCCAAAAACATGATTTTGTAGAAAATTAATTTTCGGCCATAACTTCCAAAGGAAATTTCAGCGAATTTTTTTGAAAATACCATCAATTTAAGAGGACGTAACACTAGTATTTGTTGTCTCCGTCTTACCAGTGCGTAACATAGCAAATTTACGCTCAACAGAAAGATTGTTGCATCTTTAGTTTAAAAATTAGTGTGAATCGACCTATTATGAAACTTGAGGGTAAGAACATTATCTGTGTTTGTACGTTGGTTTTTTACGATAGTTATAAATAAACTGAGTTATGAGCATTTTTAATTTGCGATTTATTATATATGCATAACTTTCTAAAAAAATCGAACCATCGTAAAAAACCAACACTATACAAATACAGATAATATTCTTACCGTGAAGTTTTATAATAGGTCGGATTCACTCTAGTTTTTAAAATAACTAAGCTACAAGTGTTCTGCTGAGCGTAAATCTGCTATGTCACGCACTTGTAAAAACTTGTCACTAGTCAAAATATACCAGTTTTACGTACTTTTAAGCATGCAAAAACACACGTTTTGAAAAAAAAATTCCAAAAAATACCTTGGGAGCTTGCTTTTGTTCAATGTATAAAGCAATTTTCACATTATAACATCTGAGTTTTGCTTAAGGGGCCTCGCAATGGCATTGATTTAAGGAGAATCATTTAGGCAATTTCTAATCTCGTCGTCGCCACCCGAGATGGCGAGATCTATGTGTTAGTCGTAAATGATTATTAGTGTGTGTGGCGTCCATGCGGGTCAATTGTAGCTCTCGCACGCACTCGCACACACATGTCAATATATAATAATATTGTGATCATGAAAAAATGCTTATTTTCACTTAAACATACGATTCTAATTCCAACAGTACGTCGCAACGATTACCTCAATTTTCATTCTGACAAAATATTCTTATTTTCCACAACATGTACGAGGGATCGATCGAGGCACATTCTTAAAATTGTATTTAGTTAATTAAATATTTAAGTTGGAAATTCTGTATTTTTTTTTTGATTTTTTTACAATTTTTATTGCAATTTAAATTACAAAAATTAAAAATGTGGCTCGATCGTTCCCTTGTATATATTACGGACAATCAGAATATCTTTTCAGAATGAAAATCGTGATAATTGTCGACACGTATCGTTGGAATTAGAAACAGTAGTTTTTGACAAAAAAAAGACTTGGTAGTGAGGCCCCTTAAAAACAAAAATATTATTTATGAGACACACTGAATGGATATTTCAAAATGTATTGTATCTTATTTAAATTTGGTTTCCTTAATATTCCGATGATATTATATGCCAATACAATGTAATATAATGTTTAAAGTTTAAACCATAATCTAAACCTATAGCCGGTGGAATAACATATTGTATACGGAAACTAATTTTCACATAGATACGGAAACCCATCCGAATCAATCGTGTGAATATCTTTCACATGACATAATCCGATAATCGTATCAGTATACGAAAAATGTTTCAAAAAACCGTTTTTTGGGATCATGTGGAAACAACTTTTTTAGTATACGGATCTTATTCGTATGAGTTTGTGAACAGCCCCCCTGGCCCGATGTTCGATTTCGTCAACTGGTACGCGGAACCGTGTCCAGTTCCGTCAAAACTCGGACGGCCATACGACACCGTGTACAAGCCGCAGCTGATGAATACATTGTTGACGCTGCTTGTTGCGTCCCAAACAGAGTGGCCGGCAGATGGGTGCGACTTAGGTACACGAACCCACTGGCACGTCCCGTCATCAAACCCAAACCATTTCGCACATCGTTCAACGATTCCAACGCGGCAAGCAGGCACGCGACGCTGACGCCCGTGCCGAAGTGATAAAAGTCCGAGCTGTTCGATGACAAGACGTACTACTGGTACTGCACTCTGGCCCTGCATGTTCACCATTGTTCACTGCTCGTGCACGTGCATTAAGACGGGCCCGACGATGAGAGATGGTCGACCACCGGTTGCGTGCATATATGTACTTCGGGCCGACCATGGACAGCGGCAACCCCGACGCACGGCGCCTGTCAACAGGACGGCTCGCGTTTCCTTTTTATCTTAATTTTCCTATTTTGTGACGTGACCGCCATGCATTTTATTTTTATTGGTATGTGTGAACATAATCACACCATGCACAAACTGCTACATTAACATAATAATTTATTTTAGTTTTTTGCCTACTGCCTATACTTGAATATAAATTAATGTACGTACTTTTCGATATTGCATCCTTTTGATTTTATTTTATACACTATCTCAGTTATAGACCTATACCTACAGATTGTTTTAAACTGTATAATTAGTAAAATACCGTATATTATGGCGTTAAATTGAACAATTTAAATTATTTTTCATTGCTTATGATTGTCATTCAATATTTGTTTAGGTGCCCCCCTGGGCACGTCACTATGTATATAGAATCCCATCAGTTTGTGTAATAAATTCATACTAAAATACCTAATTTAAAGTTGAAAATGTATGTGAAAATGCATTCAAGTAATCAAGCGCATACACATTGTACATTTTGTGTTAATGAAAAATGAAATGATCGAGTAGGTTACTTGCAACAAATACTGTGCAATGGGCATCTCGAAAATGTTGCAGAGATCGAATAGTAATGACTAATAACTTGTGAAATATAGAATACCTACTATAATGTCTATATGATACACCTACAAAGAAAAAAATAATTATAATGGTAAAAAATAACTTGATAGTAATGTGTTAATAATATTTTGTTTTAATATTTTATATCGTTAGGCAATAAAAACAAAATCTATTTATAATATATGTTCCGTACTTTGACGTGGGTACTGCCATACTGGGTAGGCAACTACTCGTGCAGTCGTGCTTCAGTGGTGTGACACCAACCGTGCTAATGTTCGACCATCGATCGACGACAAGGATCTTACTCGTGTTGGAAACTTGTTTGAGTCCGACAATATTTCATATTATTATATACAATATACTGTTGTTACTTGTTAGTCCATAATATAAATCGCACGCACTCGCCTCGATTAGCTATAGGAGTATATCATATAAGAAATAACGTTACACTGACATTTTAAATTATATACCTAAGCTCGTATCTATCATGACACGTATACACAACTACTTATATAGGTATAGCTAAAGGGTTTATAAGTATTAAGTACAATAAGTCACTAGATAGGTACCGATAGATAATATACAAAATCTGTGTTAACAATATATAATAATAATAATATATATTATTAAGTAACGCTGTTTTTTTAATATCTTATTAATTACGACCATCATATTCGTAGTCAATTGCTCGATATTTTCCAGACTAAAAATTATAACGTATCAATATTCAATAGTACCTCCCTTAGTCCCTTCCTACTTAGTACCTACCCATCGTATAAAACTATAAACAAAAATGATACCTACTCGGAATTTGGATACAAATATACAATCTAGAAGACAATAATTATATATTTAAAAATAAATAAAAGTATTGAAGTTAAGTACCCACCTACTAACTTGTATTTTAATAATTTATTCTTGACACTTAAAAGTGTACACTTTGTACCTTGGCTATGATATAATATTATGTACCTATACTTATAGGTACAATAACGTAAATCGACAAATTAAAGAGAAAATATCCATTGATTTTACTCAGTAGCTAAAATATTATGTACCATATAAGCAAGTTGATTTAAAACCAGGGAAGTCGCTCTGCTGCTGTATGCTCTACTGGCGTTGACAGTAGGTAGTGTCGCACCTATACCTAGGCGAATTATGTCCAATTACGAACGAACCTAACCCCTGTGGGTTTGGCTTCATGCAGGTTATGCGCAAAAATCAAATGCTCTTAGCGGGCCAAAAGTTTATTAACACATATAATTTTTACATATACTTTATATTTTTGTATAAAATATTGTTTACTTTACAATATACTTAAATAAAAATAAATAGGTATAAATATAATATAAATACATTTTTGAAATAATTTTTTTGTCTATATTTACATATGCGGGCCACGGGCCGGTTAAAAATTGTTGGCTGGCCGTAGTTTGGAGACCCCTGATCTACATGATGAATTATTCATAACTTATAGTTATAAGGAAACTTCTATTAAATGTTCAAGCCTTGGGTATAAAAATTTAACATTTTTTACATTTACCTATACCTAAAGACCGGATTTATATTCTCTTAAAATACCCAAAATATGATGCTAATATTCTCTAAAAACCCTTCAAATATTCTCATTATATTCTCTCAAAAATTTAAAAAATATGCAAAAATAATCAAAAAACATCATTATATGCTTTAATATGCATTTATTTTTTAAAATTTTTTTTCAACTATATTTTTATAGTGAGATATTAATTAGGTATTAAGAGTTGCGTATTATACCTAATGGAATAGTATTGCATTTTAGCAAGAGTAGGAAGTTGGAATATAATATAAATATAACAGTATAATATTAAAACACAAAAACAAAATTTTGATATTTGAATATTTGATAAACTTATAAGTTGATCTTATCAGTAGATATACATAGATAAACCTTGATAACACTGATTGTTTTATTTTTATCAAAATGAAAAAATAAATAAATAAAGTGTAAATGGTCAAAAAAAATTTTTCAGAGTACCGCAATATTAAAATTAAAAATAAATACAAATTTTTGCTCACAATTTACGAAATATTCCAAAATATGATAAATGGGTTTTGAATATTCTCCAACCCATGAAATATTCTCAAATATGCAAAAAAAACTTTTTTCTACGCATTCAGAATTGAACGAATCGTCCACATTTTTTACTCTCATAAGACTGCATAGACCCAGTAACGATATGTAAAAACATATAAATCCGGTCTTTACCTATAACTAAAAAATAATCAGCATTTTCGTGAATTTGACGAAAATGCTAATAAAGTCATGCATAGTTGTATGGATTTTCAATATTTATAGATATAATACCTAACGTAAAGAAAATATAGAAACTTATATAACTCTTATTGTAGAATAATCAATTGGTAGAAAAAAAGTTTGGGGTTACATACTATGATTAAAAAAAAAATGTATTTTATACATTCATTTTTTGGTAGGTTGAACAAATTACATATAATATATTATACTGTATAGGTACCAAGACACCTAGTAATCATTATAATATTTCATATTATATAACTAGTTTTTATTAACTTATACCAAGTCAATAAGCCAATTGTATTATACCGTAAATAGTAGATCGGTGTGAATAGTTTCATGGTATTAAAAGCTTTAACTAATCTGCATATTTTGATCTGATTGTATAGTAATAATAACAAATAACGTCATTGTGAAAAGTTTCAAGTTCTTACCTATAATATTGCCTTATACATTATGTTATTTACAATAACTTATTACATTATATTTTACTATTATTGTTGTTATGAAACATAAATTATCGAAGGCAATGATGTGCCTATAGATAGTTTTGTATATAATAGTTTAATACCATTTTATTAATCAAGTATTTAAATGTATTATATATATATTTTTTTTTGATGTTATATAGTACGTATAATAAGTTTGTCATAATCCTATATTAATTGTTGAAACTTAATTGTGTTAATATTTTAATAAAAGAACAACCAAGAACCAAATAGTAATGGTAACCAATTGTTTTTATATAGCAGTAAAATTACCATACTAGTCTAATCATAAGTACTGAACTACCCAGTTATTTAAATGTAGTTGTTGCTAAATGTTCACAGATTGAATAATATTCAGGCAGGAATCAGGGATTTTTTTTTTTTTTAATTATAGTATATTATACTCTATTCAAGTAAAAACCATATTCATTAGTCAGGACAACAAATTATGATATACAGGATACAAAACGGAAAGGTCTTATCAATGTTTTTTTGAATCCGCCCGCTTCTCACGTTGCGGTTATACTACTAGCGTTTTATAGGATTGTTGTGTTAACTGGGAAAATAATATAAAGGCGCTAGTAGTCTAGCCGCAACATGAGAAGGTGCAGGTTTCACATATCACAAGTTTGTTTTGTATACTGTATATCTTAATTTGTGGTTAGGCCTTTTATTTGTAATTCCTCTAAAGTACTCATACTAATATGTACCCCTGCTATGAAGAAATAATATGCCCATATGCACAAGTCAGTTACAGAGTACAATTTTTAACATGAATAGAGTACAAATGATCAAACTAATTAAACCCAATTCTTGAAAAAAAAAACAAATTTATCAAACATAAGATACAATAAAAATTGACGATATATTATATCAAAATATATTGTAGTAACATTAACGAGCACTGACAGACACTTGCCAAACTCTAATGTTATTGTCTGAGTATCCAGCAAACAATGTTTGTCCATCAGTTGACCATGCAAGTGACAGACATCTGGGTGGTTCGGTATTGCTGTTCTGTGATTGAGATACAACTTCTGGGCGAAGTTCCTCAACCATTTCTTTGCTTTCCAAATCCTAAACAACAAATAAAAGATAACATAATAATTTAACACAATACCTACTTAATTGTAATGGATTAAAATACCCACAATTTTCAAAAAATATAAATAAAATAACAAACATAAAAATCCAACATACCCAAATTTTGATTGATGGTCCAAAAGCAGCACACAACCAGTAACGGTTGGGGCTGAAGCACAAAGCTTCAATGATATCATTATGGTCAAGTGTGTGCAAGTGTTTGCCGTCATTAAGATCCCATAACATAGCTTTGCAATCCTATGAAAATAAAATTATATTGAAATATTTTCTTTTTTTGTTAACCAAAAATTTATTTTATTACCTTTCCTCCTGAAGCACACAGTGAACCATCAGGTGAAACAGTAACAGTGTTAAGGTATCCAGTGTGTCCATAATGGTTGGTCTTGATGCGGCAGTTAGTTAAGTTC